TTGTGGAATATAATGAACATAAAAGTCTGAGGAATGGGGTAGTCCCAGAGATGTGGAGGTGGGGTACAGACTGACAACCCCCAGAAGAAGGAGTGGTGGGGGAGAGATAAACCACAGAACTTATATGCATGTGTGCATGAACAATGGACATGGACAACAAAGCTGGGGACAGGGTGGGGAGAGAGAGGGAGGGGAGTCAGTGGGGGAAAAAGGAGAAACATCTGTAACAAAAACAAATTAATTAATTAAAAAATAAAATATAATCAATAAAAGAAAACAAACAAACAAAAATAACAACCAAAAAAAGAAATTCTATGCTTTCTTTCACCAGGCAGAGGGGAGCTGGTGGAGAGTCTTCAGCAGGTGAATGAAGGTGAGCAGTGATGAAGGAAGCTAGATTTATCAGTAGTGGAAGCATTAAAGAGAAACCAGAGGGGAGAATCTCAATAGGCTGTAGTCCAGATATGAGATAACAAAGCAATGAATCATAGAAGGAGCAGAATAAACAGGGGAAAAAAGGAACAGATCAAAGTTCTATTTCTATGAAAGAATTGATGAGACTACATTCCTTATAGGATATACGTACCAAGAAAAGTACAAATAAAAATCAAAACTGAATTTTCAAACTTGAAAAGAGGGAAGTTAAAGTGATGGAAAAAGTATAAAAAATATGAATTTAGTTTGATTTTGAGGTGCTGGCCACCATTACCTTGTTAACCTAATAAAAATATTCCATGGGCAACTAAAAAGTTAGTCTTAGAATTTTGGAAATGGGTTAAGTCTGAGGTTCAGCATTGGAAATCATTTACATCTTTACCATCCCTGCTGTTCTCTGTAGAACAACCACTTGGTGATTCCTGGGAGCTTTCAGAAAGGTAGACTCTCAGGCTCTTCCTCAGGCCTGTGAATCTCCCAATGATTTACATGCATGTCGAAGTCTGAGAAGCACTGTCCTTCATGTCGGTGGCAGTAAAAGGCAGGGCCTAGATGAGGTAAGGAGGATACAGAGATGAGGAATCCAAGGATAGAACACTAGTCCATATTTTGGAAGTAAGACAACAAGTAAGAGAGGAGAAAAAAGGTAAGAAAAATTGAAATAAAAAGATGAAAGAAAGAAAGAGTTCAAGAATGGATGACGGCCAACAGAGAGATTAAAAAGAGAAGATTCTACTGGATTTAACAAGTAACTGATCACTGATGACCACAAAGAGAAGTTGCAGTGAATGGTTGAAAGGGATGGAAGCCAGTGAAAGGGAATAAAGTCTGTATGGGTGGTACAGAAATCAGGAATATGCGAGCAGATCACTCTAAGAAGTTTTGCGATTAAGAGAAGAGATTAGAAAGTAGCTTGGCAGACGTAACAGGACCAGCAGAAGATTTTGTTTTCAGGTCGGGAACTCAAGCACATTTGCAGCAACCAACGGGCACATGTAGAAGAGAAAGGCTTACAGATGCGGAGGGGAGGCGGTGATGAGCACTGTCTGGAGTCAAAATGTGCCCCTTGGAAAGAAGAGGAAGACACATAAAAATAAATTTGGGCTGAAGAAAGAGTAAGTTGATGGCAGATACTCTACATTTCCTCAGTATTGCAGAAGCAGGTGGAGTAGGGGAGAAAGGAGCCGGGGAAAGCAGCCAGGGCGCTATTTCCACGATCGATCGGGTGAGGTGAGGAGTGCCTGGACTGAGACCACTGGCGTGGAAACAGAGAAATCAGTGATAACGATATGTATGTGCACACTTCCCAAAGACAAGACCAATATAACTTGGGGGCTCATTAGTCATAGGAGATGAAAAATAAAAATGAGTAAAGCCTCAAATTAGGGTGAGTGGAAGAATTCTGATGCTTCAGAAAGTAAGAAAAGTGAGGTGCAACGTCAATAAAGAAAGTATGAGTTCATTGTTGTCATGTTAAGTTTGAAGTAATGGTAAGACATAGAAGTAGAAATGCTGACATTTCACTGTTTATTATTCAGTATGCATTTACTGAAGGCCTACTATATACAGGTGATGCTGAGCCCAGGAACTGGAGAGATAATGGTGGTTTAGATACATATGATCTGTCCTCACAGAACTTAAAACTTCATGTGGCAAGACAAATGGGTAACAAGGCATGGGGTTCATTCAGGTAAGAATTTACAAACATTGAAAATACCTGCTTCTTAAAGCCTTGGTGAGGTGGGAAGTGTCAAGAGCTTGCTCTGGACCGACTGAGAAGGAGGCCCTCATTTTGCATTATGAGTAAATAAATACAGTATGAAAGTTAGAATGATATCTAAATGAATCATAAAACTTTAATAAATTGGCAAAGTAGAGAGAACTAAAGCAATCTTAAATGATTTAAGTTGGAAACATGGGAAGGAAAAAATACGCTATTAATGGTGAAATAAATTTTAGTTAAAAACATGTTTTACTCTTCATCTGGGCCAATTTGGAAAGCTTTCTTTAGACCTTAGATTTATCGAGGACAAGTGTAACGTTCTTCCATTCAAAATCCATTAAAACTAAAAACTGTAAATTAAGCACATCTATTCTCCACTGTGAACTCAGGAAAGGATTGAAAAACGGGGAGACACATATGGACCTTATGAACAGAAACATGTCCCACAAAGGGTAAATCAATATTTCATCAATATTTCCAAGTTTAAAACAAACAAACTAAAACAAAAAAACAGGTTTTTTTCTCATTGAAAACTTACTACAGGAAGTTTTTTTTGACCCAGGAAGTCCAAAATCAAAGTAAAAAGCAAAAACTTCTCTAATAAATTATTTGCATTTGTGTTAGATAAATGGGGCTATCCAACTAGCCAATGTGAAATGATAAAATGATTTTTTTTTTTTTTTAAAGAATCAGAGACTCTACACAGGGGGCCAAATATTAGAGTTCAATGAATTAAAATAACATCAGTTGGTGTTTCTGTGGCTAGCCAAGGGCATTCCTATTTCAACGGTTATGTAAGAAGATACTCTGGAAGGAAAACTTCAGCTGTATTAACCTTCCAATTTTTGAGAAGCAATCATTCCCTATAGTTATTATTGCTTATTCTAACCTACTACATTAGCCTAAATTCTAAAAACATCTGCACGATCATGTGAGAGTGAGTTTGTCCAAGTCTGCTTCTAATTACACTCATTTAGATTTGTTCTGGTGGATTTATTTGGCTGCTTATACTGAGTACAGTATTTCCAGAGCTTTTAAATAGGGACTGTAATTTCTTCTCAAATACCACGAAGACTAAAATGTCAGCTCTTTATTAACTGTACCAACTGGGGAGAAAGGAGCCATAGTAAGTACAATTCACAAATACTTCAAGTGCTTCTTTTGAGCCATCACCATTTAATTCTTCCCTTTTAGTCCTGTCCTAACAGTTCCCTATTTCTGTCAGGGATGCCTTGATTCACTCACTCACTCAAATGTAAAAGCTTGCAAGCATCTTGACATGCTATTATTTAATTTTTAAAGGAACTTTATTCTAAATGGCTTTATTTATTTTAAATATTGTGATTTGACAGGCATGAGTGCGTCTGTTTGATGAGAAGAGCAGAGCCAGGGCTGGAGGTGAGGTGCACGGCTGGTCTAAGTAACTGGGCCTGTGAGCCAACCGCCTTGATTCCAATCCGAGCTCCACTGAGCCGCCTGCTCCTCTACCTTCCCCACGTTTGGAATCTGCTTGTGCTGTCAGGTCCTGACAACAGCGATCAGTTAGCACTCTTTAGATCAATTCTTTCATGGAAGGGTCAGTAGGACCAGGTGAAATTGAAGGAAAGGCTTGTGGACAGAGGAGGAAATCATGTCCAAATCATGCCACAAGAATTTGTAGTTACTGAACCTCAAGAATTTATCAAGCAAGTTGAATGACCATTAAAATCAACTGAATTTTGCTACAAGTGTACCAAATTTCTCTCTTTCTCTCTCCTCTCTCTCCCATTCCTTCCTTTCCTCCCTCTTTACTTCTCTCCCTCCCCCTCTTTGCCTTTCCTTTTAAATAAGAGATTAAGAAAAATTACTTTTAAAAAGAAAGCAATTTATAGATGTTTATTTTCTCAGCATTGGCACCCTGGGCCAATCCACTAGAAACTGGAATTATCACAAAAAGCATGTTCTTTCAAGAGTCTATTTTCCAAACCAATTAAGTATGGGTTTAGTAGTGGGTGAAATGAAAAAAAATTTTTTTTCAGTTCTTTGAAACATCTCAAAATTATTTTTCAAAAAATTTGGTTTTGGCAATATCTTCTGCATGCCTTTTCCCCAAAATTTCCCCTTCAGAGCTGCGGAATGGACATGTGAAGGGAAATTTAATTCTTTCTTAGTCTAGATTTCCTAATCAAAGTCATATGAAAGGTACTTTTGAGGACTTATAAACATCTTTAAAGGTCTTTCTTTTTAGTTCAACTTAGACAAATAAAAATAAGCACTATGTAAATAGATATTTGGCCAAAAAGTGCATGAAAACGTGCTCAATACCTTAGTACCTGAGAAATGCATATCAAAATGGTAATGAGATATGACTACGCTAGAATAACTAAAATGAAAAGTACCAACAATATTTAATGCTGGTGAGAATGTGGACCAACCTGAATCCTTTATATATTGGTTGTGGGAGTGTAAATGGAAAAGTTAGGCCACAAAACAAAACAAAACAAAACATTAAATATACAACCTTCCTGTGAACCAGCAACCTTTCCCACTTTTAACAGTTTTTCCTGTCTTCAGCCTCATCCTCCGAGCTTTTGTTCCACTTCTCACTGGTACTCTCCATTTGCTATGGGGCATAGCCTTCCTTGTAGTTTATTCTTTGTTAAGAAAATACACTTGCATGTGTTTCTGTTCTATTAGGTCTTTGCATTCCCCTTATACCCAGAATAGGCTGGACTGCTAAGAGGTGATCTGTAAAGGCTGATGATGCTAATAGTTACACATTCCTCTAAAGCATGTACACATACTATTAAAACAAGGACTAATTTTCACATGAAACACAAAGTCTACCATTATGATGAATTACCTGTCATTGGGACAGTGACTCGGCAATGTCCAGTCATGGTGTGGGTTAATGAGAAAACCCCAGGACAGGAAGACGGAGCTTGGGGTCAGAGTGCCAACCACCAGCTGGAGAGGTTTGCGAGAGCGTGTTTTGCCTATGGAGGGAACATACAGGTTAATTCCAGTAACATTTAGTGTATTTTCATGATTGGGGTAAATGCATAAAGATGACTTGGTAAGATGATGAAGAGTGTGAAAGTATAAAGTTTCTTTCTTTTTATATAATGCACAAATATTAATTCTTTGACAATAAATTTAAGAATGAGACAGTTCTTTTTGATATTTATGTGTGTATGTATATGTGTATATAGTCATAAATGTGTAGCAAATAAGCTATATTTAATTATATTTAGTTTTTATTTTCTTGTGAGTCAGAGATGAATATGGAGGTCTTGGCTATTACCAGTGAAATAAACAAACACACACACATTTACATATACATACACAGACTGTATTCACATATACATATGCGTGTGTGTGTTTATATACACGCGTGCATGCGCATGCACACACACACTCCATTTCTTTTACCGACAAAAATAAACACACATTTATTTTTTTTTCTGGGGCTGTGAATTAGTGTGAAATAACATTTAAGAAGGAAAAAGAAAGCTTAGCATCTAGATTGTAGGTAGGAATAACAGGAAACACAGTTGTTCTGGTGGGACATGTAGCTTTGGGCAATGCCTAGAGTGATGCTGATAAATCACTGTAGATTGTTTTCCAGTTTATAGGGGGAAATATTTGCATTTTCAAAAATATGTGAAACTGCAAGAATGAAAACAGTGGAAAAGGGACAATCGTCAACCATGGAAACCAACACTGGCTCAGTAAAAAAAAATCAGAGTGCATAAAATAAAAAATCCAACAGCAGACCTTATAAAACTACGCAGAGCTAATGTAAAACACATGTAGTTTGTATTCATTTCATGAAACTATGGGTGTTGTATTCGCTCTAGAAGAAACATGTGTTATCTTAATCTAATGCAGTGGGAAGCAGTGGTTAGGCAGGTACCCCTTGTATGAGCTTAGTGAAGGTTAGCAGAACCCAACACCCTTGAAAATCATACCATATGTTGCTTCTACTAGATTTAAGTTCTGCAAATTATTATTCCAGTGAAAAACTTTCTGAACCCAGAAAATGCATAACCTAGCGATGATAAATTGCCTCACTGTAACATAGCTGGATTTTTAAAAGATTTTAAATAATTTTCAATGATAGTTATCATTTACTTGGTTGCAAACATGCATTTTTACTTCTCTGTATAATTTTCCAGATCCGCCCATCATAGTACCTTGTATGATTGTGATTCAAAGGGTTCAAGTCTGGCCAACGAGGCGGGCAGATTAGAATTTGAGATGAGGGTAGGGGCATGTATAGTTTGAAAAAGGCCTGGGGTGATTCTGGTATGCCTTTTCCCACCTCCAAGTTGATTTTCACTAATGTAATCTTATTTTGCAGATAAATATAGGCCCAGAGAAGTTTCAAGGGTGACCAATATAACACCAAAAGCAAGGTCAAGACTCAAATCTCCTGCAATGTAATCTAATTTTCTGTTTACTACATTATTGGTTTAGCTCACAACATATGAATAAAGGCCACTTAGAGACCAAAAATACATTTTTTTTTCTCACAAGGAAACCTATACTACATAACCACCAAATAATCATTTCACTAAGTTTGGATTTTAATATAAAAAAATCATTAAATAATTAAAATTTCATTTTAATCATTAAAATTAAAATGAATGAAAGCGAATCCATTAGTCATTGTATCATTCTCAAATGCAGAGTTCCAAAACAAAAATTATATCTGTCGCCTGAGAGGAAAGGTGGGGTACTACATCCTGAGAAGATGGAACAGCTTCCTGCACTGGTCCTCACAAAGTGGAAAATAACTCCACGGCCAGTGTCACAGAAGCTCCGAGATGAAATGGAGTTAATAAGGTGCTATTAAGGTGCAATCACTGTCTCGACTTTCCTTATAAATTTTTGTATATTTTATGATCATATCTGCATTGAGAAACAGTTCAATGACTAGGAAGCCAGAATCCCATGGAACCAGACTCATGCTTCTTGACTTTATTGTTAAATATTTTGAAAAAGTGGCTTGAAATATTGTGAATATATTTATTATGAAGAGTATGGAAAGCTGCCTGGATTAACAAGTTGTAGGGAGTGATTGAAATTTTCCTTGGGCTTTGGATAACATAAAAGGTCAGGGAAAGGAATGCGTATTTTTGAAAATGCTTCACCATTTATTGCTTCTCTTAAAAGAAGTGAAAAACAACAGAAGGAGGGGAGGAGAGGGGAAAGAATTGTGGCAACTGATTGATGCTAACCAGGCTTGGCTGATAAATCTAGAAGACAGGACACACAGCTGCCGAGGGCCCCTTTGCTGCGTATATTTAAAGACCTGTACTCTCCCCACCCATTTCATACCTTAAAAAAGATGTAACAAAAATAAAACAAAAAAGATCCTTTTTGTGTGTAGCACCCAGTGTACTATAAAAGATAAGTGTGATTAGGAAATAATTATTTTGAGAACAGTTTGCATTGGAAAACAAGATCAACTCTCTCTACAGAGTTAGGAAGGTGTGGTGTCAGGTGGAAAATTATATTCACAGCTCTGCTGGTCCTTCCTTAAAGCAACGGCCAGCTCATTCGGTCTGAGAAGAAACTTCAGTAGTGAAATTGGGACGGCTTCAAGGAGGATTTGAATCTTCCTTCAGTCATGCACATGGTGTCGATGTTCCTATTTCAAAACCTCCTCACCTGGGAGATGGGTGATGCGTGGCTGTTTCACGAAAGGGGTCCTTCTATCTCTGACTGAATAAAAGCTAAGTGCCGATCCATTTAATCCAACACATATCACTGAGCTATGTTTTTGAAACATAAACCATCTCCTTCTGCCAAGGTTAGAATCAAAATTTGCCTTCAAAATTTGAAGGGCACAACAGCAGGCATGAGTTCACACGTTTCAAAATGACAGAACAGGGACAACTCTCTGTGAGCACCGGCTGTGTGCTGGGCCCTGTCCTAGGTGTGGCATATCCAGGAGCTCATTTAAGTCTCACAATGACCTAATTATGCAGGAGAAAGGAGGCACAGAGAGGTTTGCTAGTTTGCCTAAAGCCCTGCAGTTTGTATATGAGGGTACTAGGACAGGATCCCAAGAAATCATAGCCACCACCAGGCTATGCTACTAACCTGTTGACCCCAAGTCTGCTGAGCATGTTTCATCTTCTAATCTATATTCTTTTTTTTTTTAAATGTTTTTTATTGATTATTTAGAGAGAGAAAAAAAATCAATGTGAGAGATACATCAATTGGGTGCCTCCTACACACCCTCACTAGGGATGGAGCCCAAAACCCAGGCATGTGCCCAACCAGGAATTGAACTGAGACTTCTCAGTCCATGAGACGATGCTCAATCCACTGAGCCACAGCGGCTGGGCTAATCTACATTCTTAAGGCACTGGGTCTCCATGCGTAGAAAAGAGATGAAAAGCCATAGATGAGAGTTCATTAAAAAAAAAAAAGAACAAAAAATACCTGAACATGACTTCTTTTGACTTGGTGGAGGAGCAGGTCGCACAACGATGAGATATTTAGGCTCTGCATCTGGAAATAATAGTAACTTTATTAATGAAATTCTTTGAGAACGAGCAGCATTTGCCACAGCACACCCATGTCCTGACTCAGCGTTCCCGACTTTAGTCATCATAACCACAGTGGATGAGAGGACCCAGGAATTCGGAAAGTTAATACCTTGTAAACAGTTCAGTTTGGTTCGGTTTTTAAAATAAAAATTAAATTCAGATTTTTAAAACCAAATGTACAGGGATAGGGGATAGGTCTTAAAAGAATCTCACTAGACATGGATTTCATGTCACTTCTTCATCAATCCTTTCCTTCGTAAAGATATTAAATAATCAAATCATATCTTAAATAATCAGATTATGCATATTCTGTCACCCTATTCTTCACAGAGGGTCAGCCTGATGCTAAAATCAGAGAAGAAAACCCCTATTGGTTTAAGACACTGGACATGTCACCTGTTGCATGATCTGAAATTGCTCATTTTTGTGAAGATACATTTATAATGCCCTATTATTTTAATCCCATTGCATAATTTCTCAGTCAGTTCTTATATCAAACAAATAATTTTTATGAATAATTTTTAAACAAACTTACAATTTTAGGTTGCTATAATTTTCACCTAAAGTATGCCAATGGAAAATAGATAATCTCTTTTAAAAATATTTAGGTTTTAAATAAAATGATGTTTAAACAATCAGTATGCGCTAAGTCAATCATGAGCTAATAATTTATTAAATGATCTTTTTAAAATTGATGTTTCTGAGATGAATGGTTTGTTTCAATACATACAATAGGACAAACACATTTTGGATATACTGAACAGCATTTCATAAGCAGCTCCACTGAATTAACTAATTGATGGGTATTATTTACAACATTTCTTCAGTAACTTTGGATTCTGAAACTCATTCTACTCCCAAGTTTCATTCAGATGCTCACCCCTGTTTGCTCAGGCAGATCTCACGTTTGTACTGTTTACATTCTGGGTTGAAACAGCTCCCCTCCGTGAATTTGCAACACAGGCCTTCTCTGCCCAAGGCTTACAGCGCTGACCTCATCCTCAGGCAAAGGCAACCTGGCAATTCAACTGCCTTTAATGACTCCAGCCTTTGTCTTTTTCTGGATATCTCACAGCCCTTTTTGCTGTAACCTGCTGGGTAATTACCACAGCAAAAAGCACACCAGGGACCTCCTTGAACTGACTTCAGAGCTTTGCCTGTTTATTATAGTTGCTTCATGATCACAACACAGATCAAGGAGCATTCATTGTGTTTCAGATCCCAAGTGTTGGACAGCATATCTTGCTTCGTGAAGCTTATATTGGGAATGTTCTCAACCTAAATCAAGTCTCCTAGTAGAAATACAATAGCCATTTCCTGATTTTATTTGGGATATAAAGTGATAGAGGTATTTAGAAACTACCATGTATTGAGTATGTTCTATGTGCAGGATACTTGTTAAGCACTTTAGATTCATAACTTAATTATTCCTCATGGCAATCCTACCTGACACATCTTATCATCACCCCAATTCGTAGATGAGATCACTGAGGCAGACAGCTTCATGGGCATGCAACATGTACAGTCACACCAAGTCCCATGCCCCAAAGGGTCCCAAACTTGGTCTAATAACCTGCTGTTACCATCTTGAAATTCTTCATACTTTTTTCTTTAACTTTGTGTTTTGCAAGGGAAGTTGGATAGGACAATGAAGTGTGTATGTGTGAGCAGAGGAGACAGGAACAATATGCATGTCTGCAGTTCTTCCCATTCACATACAGCATTAAGATGCCCCATTAGCCAGCATTTCAAAGGATCCATGCTTGCCTAGGAGCTCAGCAAGACTCGAAGGTAGGGGACACTGGCAGCTCTGGGAGGCCAACTTCCCATTTGAACTAGAACTTGGTTCGATGCAGAAAGAAGGCAATGGCATTTAAGAAACACAAATGGCTCAGCCAGTGTGGCTCAGTGGTTGAGCCTCGACCCATGCACCAAGAGATCGCCAGTTCAATTCCCGGTCAGGGCACATGCCTAGGTTGTAGGCCGATCCCCAGTGGGGGGGCTTGCAGGAGGTGGTCAATCGATGTTCTCTCTCATAGATGTTTCTATCTCCCTCTCCCTCTCCCTTCCTCTTTCTCTAAAAATCAATAAAAAAAAGAAAAAAACTTTAAAAAAAGAAACACAAATGACCAAGAAATCCTATATTCTTTCTTCCTCATGTTACTTCTTGTATTCACCAACTAGTACATGCTGAACATGATGATGTAGAAGGGATAGTCAGAGCAACCCCTAGTTCCTTTTCTTTTCAGTTCTTCTATACTCATAAGCAAGGCAAAGGCAGAGTAGTGGTAGAATGTGCACATATTGAGAAATGAAGTGAAAAGCTGAGTTAATTTTGCATACTTTCTCTATTCTGGTAAGAATAAAATACATATGCATGTATGCACTACAAAATGCAAATTGTGTAACGTCAGTGATCCTGCTTAGGAGTTAAAAGCTGCTACATTTGCACATAAAACTAGCATTGCACAATATACTGATAAATGGTAAAATTCATGCTGATAAAAACATTAATATTTGTTTACCTAGGTGACATTAAGTAGCAAATGAAATAACACCATGACAAGTTGAGAGAGAAACTCTGGAAGAAAGGGAAAACTTTGTATTTTAGTTTGTTTAATGGCATTTTTTCCCCTGCTTTTTGAACCAGGGATCCTTCATTTTTATTTTGCACTCAGCCCCATAAATTATGTTGCTATCTTAATCTAGTCTTCAAAGTGCCCTTTCATTAAAACTCTGGAATTCACTTCTAGAAAACAAAGCTAAATCCCTATTTTTCTTACATTGTTCTCATTGTAACCAAGCCTTTTAGAGCTAGTCTTTTATTTCCTTCCTTGATACACATTAAGTCAACTATGCCTCAGTGGTTTTTAAGAAAAGACCTGAAATACTAGAAAAATAACATTCATGATCCAAGACATACAAGCAATTTAAAAGTAATTTTTGTTATGATCACAGTCATTTTGCATAAAGCAAAACCTGTTGCAGCCTGTTACAGATTGAAACAGATGTTGGGGTCTGGGTGCACACGCCAGCTCTCTCCGCTCATTAGAAACATGCAATCTGCATGTATTTCAGCAGTTTTACTCTTGATTGGTAACACAGACAAAGAAAAATCAAACAACTGAAAGAGAAGATTTCTATTTCTGTTCTGAGCTACGAAACTGTGGATTTGTAGCAACCTGGAAATATATACACAACAGTAGCCTGATCAGAAATTCTGGTAATACATGACAAAATACACACCTTTTTTCATTTAAAGAATGTATTAACTGAAATGTTGATTTAAGAAAACTCATGTGGAATGCAACTACCTTATCAAACTTCCCATTCCTAATAGTTAAGCCTATACAATGTTTCAGACTACTTAATCTACTGTTTGATAGTTTCTATGCCCTGCACCAAGAGGTCATGGGTTTGATTCCCAGTCAGGGCACATGCCCAGGTTGTGTGCCAAACCCCCAGTGGGGGGCATGCAGGAGGCAGTCAATCAATGTTCTCTCTCATAGATGCTTCTATCTCTCTCCTTCTCCCTTCCTCTCTCTCTAAAAATAAATAATAAAGAAAAAAATTTTTTTAAATTTCTATGCCTTATGGTGGAACATAGAGACAATTTACTGTCTAAGGAAATCTATTGAAATCCTTTATAAGGTACTAGAGATTTTGATGATATAAATAATCCTCCCATAATTGCTCTGTTTGAAAAATCCCAAATCTGTCCTTTTTACTAGAGGTCGTCTGCCTTGCAAGCAGCTCTGCTCTTGAATGCTGTCATAGTGAGGTATGTTTCTGCCACGTAAATTCCCACAAAATAAACAGAAAATAAGCCAGGATGATCTTAAAGGATATCAGGTAAGGAACATAAAAAAACAATTTATTTACCCTGTCATCTTTTTTCACAACTTGGTTTCATGTCAAACTAAATTTCTGAGCATAAGAGCATGGACTCTGGACCCTGCAAAGTCCTGCTCAGCTATAAAGTGAAGTACTTAACATATGTGCAAGTAGCATTCTCATCTGCAAAATGGAAGAAATCACAGTACTAGCCACATGGGGTTCCTAGTGATGAGTAGCCTATAACAGTGCCTAACACACAGAAATCTGCTAAAGTAATTTTAGCTATCATGATGTGGATTTCTTTTTTGGTTGTTAATTCTCACCCTAGGAGATTTTTCCATTGATGTTTAGATAGAGTGGAAGGGAGGGAAGGAGAATGTGAGAAAAACATCAATGTGAGAGAGACACATAGATTAGTTGCCTTCCACATAACCCAACTGGGGCGGGGGATCAAACCTGCAAAGGTTTGTGTCCTTGACTGGAATAGAACCTGTGAATCACTGAGCAAAACTGGCCAGGGCAGGATGATGATTTCTTGAAAGCAGAAGTTTGTGCCTGAAGAGGTCCTGAGGACATATTAAAAGTAAGGACAATGTTCCAAATCTTTTGTTTTTTAAAGCAAGTATCAGATTCCAAAATACAAAAATTTCATAGAAAAGAAATTATAGACCATGCTGATGAATATTTTCTCCTTGATTCCTAATCTCTTCTTCTTAGCTCTTTTTCAACTAGGCCCTGACTGTTGGGTTTCTGTGTTCATCTCAGCATTGTCTGGTTTTAGGGAGAATCCTGCTTAAATGGTTTGCCCAGATTTCCCCATAGCTCATCACCATTGATATCTGATCAGGTTCCTGATCCTTCACCATCCCTCAGAAAGTATCCAATCACCCTGGCCTGCCTTCAGCAAGAATACTGTTAGGTCAATTTAATCAGAATTCCCTTTACACTTGATGTTTCTCTTAGTAATTTTTCGTCCACTGATTTCCCCCCCAACCCTGTTCCTTGGTTATAAATCTCCACTTTTCCTTGTTGTATTTAGAGTAGAACCCATCTCTCTCTTCGACTATAAGACCCCATGGCAGTGGTCCCTCCACTATCAAGGTAGTTCCTCCTTGAATAAAGTCT